GCAGATTAGAGAATCAGATTGTTGATATAATGATGAAGGTTGTATAGGTCGAATTGTTCAAGAGATTAAGAATAATGATGAATGTAAATGGCTTAGATACAATAAATTAGGTGGTGTGTTAAATATGTAATTCTTTGTGTCGAAGTCAAAATAGTGTTTTCTTATTCGACGAGTGTCTAAATTAGTTTGTGGTGAACAAAGTCTGTATTTTCTATATATGACAGGAAGTCAAATATAGCATGTCGAAGCATGCAGTTGTCGAAGGAGTCGATAGAGTCGAAATAGTTAAATTAGCTTAGTTTTAGTTGATTTAATTATTTTTTGATTACTTAGTGTGCAAGTGATCTTATCTATACATAAATATGAGCTCTATTTCATTTGTAATAAAGAGTTTTGCATTGTGTAGATTCTAAAATCACAGTTGTGATTAACAAACATTAGAGAAAACACTTTGAGTGCAATTTGCACAACAGAAATACATTCTTCTTCCTCCATAATTTCCTTTCTCACACTTTCAATTGCTTTGTTTTCTTATTTCAATTATCCGTGTAGTGTAGAATCATATTGCAACCGAGTAGTTTTTTCACCTGAGTGAAGGGTGGAGAACAAGAGGCATGATCAATCAGAAAGATTGGTTCTTATTCATCAAGATTAATTCGATCAACTTCAAGATTGATTTTTTCCCAACAACCCTGTCTTTCTCGCATCAAAGTATAAATTCTCTTTTAAAAAGAATAAGAAGCTAATTCTAGAAAGTGGACGAATGAATGAATACAAAAGTATACTTTTGAATTTATTTTAGAAATATATTTTCAGACTATTTTTTTTATAAAATAGAAGTGTAGCTCACTTATACATGAATTTTGTGTGTTTGAAGTACGTCCGAAGATACATTTCTAAATTCTAAAGATACCTTTAATTTACACAAATGTGAAAAAGGAATCCTTAGAATGCGTGAAGCAATTCCCAAAAAAAAACTGTTATAACTTGTAACTAAAAATAGCGTATCTAACTCACCTGCTATATGTATGCTATATGTACAGCACAAAATGATGCGTTAAAAAATTACAATTTATGTCCTTAACCTATAATACCAAAATTTTCTTCTTTTTTTTTTTTTTGATACAAGGGAGGGCCTAATCCCAATAAAGAAAATTAAAGAAAGACATCACGGAGAACTGAGGTCCTAATAGCCAACGGAGCTATGACATTCGAGCAAGAGTCATAGACAAAAGTATCATGTTAATGACCTAAACTCATCTTGGCCAAGGAATCTGCACACGAATTAGCTTCCCTATATATGTTAAATTGCAAATCTTCCTCACCGAGCTTCTACCATTACTTAACTGATCTTTCTTCCCTTTTAGGATCTCCACAACAGTTTGTTGTCTGACAGTACCTCCACACAAGTAACACCCATATCAAATGCTGATCTCAAGCCTTCCAAAACTCCCCACATCTTAGCAACTTCCACATTGCACATACCAATTCTTCTAGAAAAAAACCCGGATTCATTCACCGTTGTGGTCTCGGAGCAAACCCCTACAACATGTGTCCTCGTTGTTATTAACCGTGCCATCCACATTTATCACAATCCGTCCTTCTCTTGGCGGAGTCCAATGGACTTGAGTTAAAATTCTGGTGCGCTCGAACAAGGAGCTTATTAACGTCATTATAGTTCTTGGCTTTGTCCCAAATAATTGGAATTAAACTAGGAGGCATAGAATACTCTTCTTCTTGCTTTCTTTTCTTTCTACAAACCACACGGTATGACATGTCGTGGCCCATAAGCTATCCCATTCCAAGGATCCAGTATAACAAAATCTGTTGTTGAGGTTCAGATGTAACCAGTTCTGCAACTCTGACTCGGAGAAGCAGCTCCAATAGGGTTCTTTAATAAGAGACTTCCAAACTGTCATGGCAGGGTGACAATCTCTAAGCACGTGAAGGATGTCCTCTGAAACATTAGGGCAAGCTGCACAGTCAAGGCCACACGGGTTCAAATTATGCAGGTAAGAATTTGTGATCAAACGCCCATGATTCACCATCCATATGAAGACTTTGACTCTTTCAGGGACTTTAAGGTTCCATATTTTCTTGAAATCCCCATTGATATCAGTAAGGGAGATACTCTTGCTTAGGTAACCATAAGCACTCGAGACATTTATGGTACCGTCCTTTGATCCTTTCCAAATGCAACTATCTTCTCCATTTTCATGTCTAGGAGGGTGAATAACTCTTATTTCTACAACCGTGTCAGAATCGAAGAGGCTATCAAGGAGAGTTATACTACATTCTCCATTACTGTCCAGAAGGTCTACCATTCTACTTACCTGATGATTTTTCCAGTCCTGCACCAGGTCCTTGAGTAACTTTCTAGATTGAAGCCAGCAATCATTCCAAACATTAACCTTCAATCCATTGCCCATGTCCTGGATTATAAAATCATCCATGACAGACCAGTTCTTCACAATGTGTTTCCAAAGGATTGAGTCGTGAACTTTGGCACTAACGCTTTACATGTTGTTCTCATTTTTGTCGTATTTCCCTTTGAGAACTTGGCACCAGATATGGTTTTGTCTTTTCTTCAGCTTCCACCCAAGCTTTATCATGCAGGCATTGTTCATGTTAACCATATTTATGAATCCCAAGCCTCACAAACATTTAGGTTGCACTAATTCACTCCATTTAATTGCATGGATATGCTCCTGATCCTATGAATCACCCCATATAAAGTCCCTCTGAATTTTGTGAATCTCCTTGATACAAGCCTTCGGTAAAGCGTAGGTCATCATTGTATAAGTTGGGATTGCTTTAATAACTATCTTGGCCAACGTAACTCTACCTACAAAAGATAAATTTTGAGCTTTTCAACTCGTTAGATTAGATTTGATATTCTCCATGATATGGTTAAAGTCTCGTCTTCTAGGGCTTCTTCCCGTTATCGACACTCCCAAGTACATGCTCAATTCTTTGATCTCCTTATAGCCAAACATCTTAATAAACTCTCTTCTTACCTAAGTAGGAATGTTGCTTGAGAAGAGAATTCTTGTTTTGTCGTTGCTAACCCGTTGCCCAGACATGTTACAGAAGTTGTCAAGAATGTCTTTCACACAGGTCATTTGGTTAACAGTGACTTTCCCAAGAAGTTAAAGGTCGTCGATAAACATGAGATGGGAAATACTTGCCCCTCTCCTACTAGCTCTAATTCCAACCCATTTACTATTTCCTTCAACTTCCAAAATGAGGTGGGATAACTTTTCCATACAAAGTACAAATAGATAGGGGGAATAGGATCCCCTTGTCTAAGGCCTTTAGCTGCTTTGAAATAGCTGGACTCCTTACCATTCCATCTTATATCTCATTGAGACAGGTCAAATAGCCCGCCATCACTACTTGGATCATCTTAGCAGGAAAACTAGCTTCTTCTAACACTCTTTTAACAAACTTCTAGCTAAGGTTATCATAGGTTTTTGCCAAATCGACTTTGACGACAAAGTAACCCGCCTTCCCCTGTTTCCATTCATGTTGTGAACCCTGGGGAAGGAAAACGTTCTCATGAATGCTTCGTCTTGGTATGAATCTAGTCAGATAAGGCCCTACCAACATATCAATGTACTGCTTCAGCCTGTTCACGATAATCTTGCTCAAACATTTGTAGATAGTATTACAAAGTGAGATAGTCCTGAATTGTTGCACTTGAGAAGGATGAGGGACTTTTGGTATAAGACAGATCTTAGTAGAATTCACTTCTTGAATGTGGATGGGATTGTCCACATTTCATAAATGTACCTAAAGACAGTATCTCCAACGTAAGACAAAGATTTTTGGTAGAAGCCTGTTGGGAAACTGTCAGGCCTAAGGGCCTTCCAAGGAGACATTGCGAACATGACAAGCTTGATCTTTTCACTATTCACGCCAGCTCTTAAATTATTACCAAAACTGACATCGAGATTGGGATAAGCAACATTCAACATTTGCCAATCTCCTGCTTCAGTAGTTTTAGTGAACAACTTTTAATAGAAGTTCTTGAAGATCATACTCACCTGAGTTAGGTCCTCTATCTAATTTTCTTCCTCGTCTTTTATCATGTTTTTAATAGAAGTTCTTGAAGATCATACTCACCTGAGTTAGATCCTCTATCCAATTTTCTTCCTCGTCTTTTATCATGTGGATCTTGTTCTGTCTTTTTCTTTACACAGCTTTAATGTGGTAGTATTGAGTGTTTGTGTCTCCCTCCATGAGCCATTTTGCTCTAGACCTTTGAATCCACATAAGTTCTTGATGCATTACTTTAGAAAGTTGTATGTAACCTTTTCTCCATTTTGATAAGGCCTTCATGACCTCTCTCCCCTCATAGACGGCCCTTTGAATACCTCCGATTTTTCTGAGTAAATATCTCTTATGTCTCAACAGATCTTATTGTGAGATTCTTCCAATCCTCTACTTTCTCTTTAAAATGCTTTAGATTGTCCCAAGACATGCTTTTCATCTTTTAATAAAACAAAACTTTATGATAGGGAGCACTCCAGTTAAATTTCAACCGATGATCTCAATATGAAAATTTATATATTAAGAATGGATTTTTTTCAAACAATGTCTAGCTATACCAAAAATGTGAATGTCGTAATTAGATAGTCATGTTTTCAAAGGTAAGGACTATTTCTGTTCAATGTTAATTTTCAAATTTTCAAAAATATTGCAGTAAGATATCATAATAAGATATTTAGACAATGTTGAATCCCCAAGACAAAGGTTATGCTTATGCCAATTTAGTACAGCTCAATTCAAACTAGGCCATACCCCCAAATAAATGACACATGTATCAAAATTACAACCAGCATAATCAAGAATAATTGATAAAGCCTCCTCAAAACTGAACAGAAGTATTATGCAACGTGAGAATTTTAAATGTACAAAAAAAATGATATTTAATTATCTAAAACAGTGATGATACAATGCACTCACTCTACTGTAAAAGCACTTGATGAGACACAAAATTATACTACTCTGACAACATCTCCAAGGCAATCGAAGAAATGAGATATATTAATTTTCTCTTGGCCGGCATAGATAGCTTCTGCTGATCCACCTTGTGCACCTTGTGCTGCCATCTCAATCAACATGTATAGCTTCTTGATGGGCATCTGAGGATAACATTGAGCATACAATTGGAGTTAGAATAAGTACACAAATATAGCAGCAAATGTTCCTAGACAACCACTAGTTTCCAGTAGGAAATATTATGCGCAGAAGCATACCACATTGGCAAAAAGATAAAAATATCAACAAACAGATGACTATCACCTATACTACTAACAATCTGCACATGGACAGTTAAAAATTGAAAGAAATGCTTTTTTTGTAAAGTTTTGGAATTCCAGTGTCTTACAAATAAGGCCAACTATCACAGACAAAATAAACGGAGTAATGATACATACATGATCCAATGCATCTGCGGCAGAATCAATATCTTCATCAGCAAAAACATTCAACTGTTCAAGGACCTGTAATTTTACAAATGAAAAATATGTTAATATTTATTTTAAACTACAGTATTTATAATATAACCAACAGTAACAACTTAGAAAATAAACTCACAAAACAAATTAAATTATTATTTCAAATATGTCAATAGCATGGAAAAAGAACGGATATAAGTTTACCTTCTTCGCATCATTTCTGCTCAATGTAGGAACATTGTAAGTTATCGAGAAGTTATTACAAAAACCAATAGAGTCCAAGAAATCTACTTCACTAGTTGTTCCAATTACCATGAGTTTTTTCCCCTGGAAACATGGTTTGAAATGCACATTATTTACTATAAGGTTTGCATAACATAAACAAAAAAACTACTTGCAATTGATATTTCTATTTTTATTTGGTGATTTTGACAGTCTGGAGATGAACTCACAACAGTAAAACATACTTGCATCAATTGCAGAAAAAATATGCATGCACTAAAACTAAAACTTCAAATGGCAAAAAAATGGTGTTGCATACTAAAAACCTAGTTCTCAGTTAACACAAAAAAAATATATTGAATTCAGTATGTTTTAGGTGGAAAATCTGCCAAAAAAACAATATGATCATAATTGTGATTTGACGATTTGAAAACCAGCTATTACATTTTGGTTAGCCAATTGGAACAATAAAATATAGTAAGATCTAATAGCAGTAGATCTGCACTTCACGTGCCCAACTCTCCCTACTCCCGCAAAGAAACATCATGTTGCCGACAATAGTGTGTTATGAGTGTCATACGGGTGTCGGACACAATTCAAAGACTGTCAAAGCAAAGAAAAATAAAATGGGGACACTTTGACTTTTCCTAGATGTGTTCGGGTGGCATACAAGTGTCAGACACCGAAATACGCCTACTCCTAAAGGTGTCCGTGCTTCATACATATTGAAGTTGATTGGCATGTCATCAAATAAAAAGTAGAGAGTGGCCTAATCAACACCCCATATACCTAGGACCAAGGCAACCTTGCAGATCTTATAAATAAGAGGATGAGCAACAACTTTGAAAGGACTGTTTCCAAGTTAGGAATGATAGATACTCATTGACCAGCTTGAGGGAGTGTTTTGTAAATAGTGTATATTTGTAACTATTAATAATAGTTGTATTTAACCCATTTACCAGGTCCATTCACCAGCTTGAGGAAGAGTGTTGTAGATAGTGTATGTTGTAACTATTAGTAATGGTTGTATTTGACCCATTTAGCAGGTCCATTAGGTTAGAATAGCATTGGTAGTTGTATTTAATTCATGCTTTTGAAATATATTAAGATATGATTTCTACAAAACTCAAAAGACAAGGAAAAACAGAAACCTTTGGGGGAAGTTTCTTGAGCAAAACCAGTAGTGTCTGAGAAATAAGGTTTGAGAAACGAGGACCAATAGGAACATACTCCAATAATCTGGATCAATGTACAGTGAAATAATTAATATTCGAGGAGGAATTACAGATAAAAATGATAAAAGAACAAGAACAAATCATACCTCTCAATGTCATCAAGAACAATGACACTCAAAGGTGACTTGTATGCATCCTCAAAAACCTATTAGAAATCATCAAACCTTAACTTTCATAATAAATTAGCAAGGAAAATGCTAAAATAACACTATTGATGTAATTGTTAAAGTGCTAAAGAGAATTGAAAGTTAAAAGCATATACTTGACTGTTGACTCAATAAAACCTGACTTGCAATGTCAGTAATCTAGTCTACAGAAAATATATATATACATGCAATACTCAATAGGTTAAAAAGAATGGCTCAAAATATTATGACAAACCTTAATAATCTGAGCACATTTAGAGCTCTCGTGTAGACCAATCATTGTTTCAGCTGAAATCTATCCAATTACAGAAGATCAAAGTTAAAAACTTTGGCCATAATTGTAAAGTCAAAAGCAATATAGATTTCTAGTGTGTAATGTTCAAGATAAGGACAGAACTTACTATCTTGACATATGCGAAGTCACTATCGATACCTATAGTAGCTGCAAGTGCGGTCTTACCACTATAACAACAAAGCAGTTTAGAAACATGTCATCACAAAAAGTCATTTAACTGCAAAAATCAACACATACCTGCCACGATAACCTTCCAGAAGACAAGTAACAAGGGGGCTTCCTTTACTCACTTTAACTTGCTCCGCAACTAGCATTGCTCTCTGATAAATGTGCTTATGTCGATCACCACACTCCACCATGCCATGGAGTCTACAAATCAAATTAGACAAAACCTTATAACGCGGCAAATTTTATTATTTCTATAGTACTTTCAGATAGCCACATCATAAACTAAATAACAGCTTTTGAAAATAACTAAAACAATAAGAAGCAGCAGAGCTGCAAAAACATGTGATAAACTATCCATGGGATCCCCGTAAACTACATTTGCAAGAAACTTAAAAATACCTTTCAAGCCATCAAATTTATTTGGTGTTTTGCATTCAAATGATGACAAGAGGTAGCAATAAAACATTCATATAGTTTGAAATTTGTACTCTTTGATGTTTTACTTTATTTTCGTCAGGTTAAAAGGCTGCAGTCTTTTTGCTATAGTAGCGAAGGTATGTATAAAATTGAATAATTAATACTCGCATTTGGCAACTGTTAGCTTCTGTTTAAAGTGCTTGTAACTATTAGCTGTTATTTGTTAAGAGTCTTTTGAAGTAACAGAAGCCAACAGTCGGCAAAATGCTGCAACAGTTTCCTTCACCTGTACAACAGACTTTAACTTTGTGAACTCAATACTAGGTCGAACAAAATATGAAATGCAGAGTTTAGAGATTGCTCTCTGGTTTTTGCTCTCTTTCACTATCTCAATGTTCCTAAAACTTCCCTATATTTTCTTGCTCATACTCTAATGAAGTTTGTGAGAAAAGGAATCTCAAGAGAGTCCAAGTTATTATTCTGAAATCTCAACTTTCTATCATTAAACTTATGAGGTTCTTATACAAAGGTATTTATAAGTTTATAACATGCATTGATGATTCTAAAAGTACAGAGAAGAAACAGAAAATAACTAACACGATTGAACTAACAATCAGTATAAGAGAAAACAGAATGGAAGACTCTAGAAAAGTTTATAACATGCATTCTGAGTCAAACTAGAGAACACATGCATGCTTCGAATATAATCCTATCTGTAATGCACACTTTTTTTGGAATGTTACTTTATTTGTGAAATCTCTTCGACAAAGTACATTTTATGAAAACTTCAGAATAACAATGGGCAAGAATATATAAAATGAAATTGCTTAACCCATATCTAAAAACCGTAAAGCCTTGCGACCCATACCTGCATCGCTCAAGATCATCAGTGGAAGCTCCAAATGCAGGAATAACTTCATGAAGTGCATTCAAAAAGTCCTCCATCGTAACCTTAATGTTTTCCTCCTCAACTGGCTTAGTGAGATCTTCAAGACTCAATTGTCTATTTAAAGCATATGAAACAGCACTTTTCACAACACCTTCAAGTTCTGCACCACTGTAGTTTTTAGTTCGAGCAGCTGCACGAAAAAAAGAAAAGGTAAATCCAGAGTAAACCTTCCATGCTCTTCATAATTCAAAAGCCATGATTCTAATAATTTTACTTTTCCTCTTTTTCAGAAAAATGAAAAATAATATTGACACCTTAAATCATATGTACCGCTTCACAGATTTACATGATTGTTAATAAAGAATTAATATGATCAAATAACTGATTACCAATTTTGAATATTTTTGTTATTGATTCATAGGAGATTTACAAGTAAGTGTAGGTATAACAAACAAAGCAAACACAATCCCATAATATTCGGATCAAATCAAAACAGAATGAGATATCTAAGGAAACTAGGATCCTAACAAATAAATCAAATAATAAATACAAAATATATTAACAAAAAACACGCATAATGTTTTTTTCACTATCTTATTATCATCATATTACTATGTTTTTTAATTATCTGATTATCATCCCCTTACTAGTTGAATCCATTAACCAAAAGTAAGTCCTGGCTACGGAAACACTTAAGTAGCCAATGACAAAAAATACTGTTTCATTCTGGCATTATACGGACACGGTCGGGACACCGTTCTAGCCAAAAGGGACATCTTTTTAAGACGGTACTTATTTATGATACCTTTGCTGCAGTAGATTGTAACTTGTGGAAATTTATATTTGTTTCCGTGCAACTTTCTAATTGGCTGAATTTTTCTTCTTTGATTATGTGAATCATCAAGTGTCACCTCTTTTCGTTCTTTTATAAAAAAAATATTTAAAAAAAACTGATAAATTATTGAATCTAATGTGTGTGTGTCGCACACACACATATATGTGTCAGTATCCTACATTTTGGAAATAATGCTGTCTATGTGTCTGTGTTTCATAAACGTTTCATAGTTTATGAAGCATATTAAGGAATTATCTCGAAGCACAAGACTGAATTTATGTTTTGTAAATATCTTTGCCTCTTGAGATGATGGTTTTCATACTCAAACACATACATACAATCTATCAAGTTCACGCAGAAACATTGAAACACATGCGTTATAAAGCATAGAATCCTAGCAAATGACCACCAAGATGGATCGAAGATGAAGACCATACCGGCGAAGACCGGAGAAGATAAAAACGTGAGTATGCAGAAACACATGAGAATTTTTCAAATTGTCTAATTAAAATACTACAATACTACGTTTTGATGCGAGTCCACGTTAGATGAGATATTACATGAAAAAATGTTTATAACTGAGACATGGCAGATTTTGTAATGGTGAATTAGGATCAATCCATATACATAAGATGGTTATAGAGCTTATCCAAGAAATACGATTAGGTTTATTATTATTTGTGAGTTATGGTGTTTTGTGAAACACACCATAACTGACAAATAGGGAAAGACAGGAAAAGTTAGAAAGAATTATCAATTGGGTTATTAGGAAGGAGAGATCAAGCTCTCTAGTTCTTAGAATGGAGAGACCAGGACTCTCGAAGTTCTTGGAAGGGCATAAATTTGTAACATTTCTATCCCTGTCTCTCAAAACTTTCCTTAATAAACTGGTGAGGTTGCTTCAGTGTTATCAATAGCGGATGGCGGACGATGGTGGAGAGCCAAAATCACAGCATACGGTGCCGTGGCACTGCCATCCTTCACAAATTTGGCCATGGTGGAGAGCCAAAAAAAAAAACGCCACCAGTATACGCCATAGCCAATATTTGACTACACTGGATTGCTTTAATAAATTTTTATCCTCTGTTTTAAGATAATTCAGCAGAGGCACAAAATAGAAGCAAGAATTTAATTCTTAGAGTGTGCCTATGAAGGACACATGGACATGCACGATGGAACTCATGAGATGCCATGATTTCAAGAGGCAGAGAAGGATTGAGGAATTGCTGTAAACAGTTAGAGGCATGACACTGCATAACGAACATCATGGAGAAAATTATTCTAAAAATGGAGATGGCAATGGCATAAGTGAGGATTTCAAATCTAGCCCGAAACAGAAATGGTGGAAATTAACAAAACCAGTATTTGTGAAAGTATGGATGGAGAAAATCATCAAGGGCTGGGAGGATACTTGGGGAATCAAATTGAGGGAGCAATCTCCTTTATTTCACCTTGAGGGCAAGGTGATTCTTTTGGAGGGGAGTACTGTTAGACATTGTATCAGAAGAAATACAAAAATAAGAAAGCAGATTATGTTTGAAAGAAATAGGGAGAGACAACGGAAGAGTTAAGGGGGAAATTATCAATTGGTTATTGGGAGGGGGAGACTAAGCTCTCTAATTCTTGGAAGAGAGCGATCAAGACTCACAAATTTCTTGGAAGTGCATAACCTTGTAATTTTACTATCGTTGTCTCTCAAGACTTTCCTTTATGGTCTGGTGTCTGATTTGCTATAATAAATGTATACCCTTGGTTTTAAGATAATTCTGCAGAGAAAGTATCCTATAAATTATGTTCTTATCCTACTTTATTCAAATATAAATGTCAGGTCTAACACAATTCTTATCCGGTAAACATTATTATTTGACCCGACTATTTCAACAAAAGAAACAAGTGAGATTGTGCTTAATTTATGCTAGACCCAAAAAAATCATTCCCTCACTATTTTATTTAAAATTCAATAACATTTTAAGAAACTATTTTATATAAAGTATAAAAAAAAAAAAATAGTGTCCAAATTCTAGACAAACTAATTGTGATCCTCAATGAAGCAAAGATAGATCAAGAAAGTCACCATCACCATGCTGGAAATAGTGTGTGAGTGACACAAGTAAATGTGTAAAGTAATCGGACACCTGAAATCTGGAATCAGTTAAAAATTAACATGTGAGTGTGACACAAATAGAATGTCGAAGCCTATGTTAGGTGATTCGGAATCAGTTAAAAATTAAATATTGCATAGATTTATAAACCATTTTCAGTGAAAACATCTTTGAACCAGTTTTTAGTTTGCCAAACTCCACCTCAGTTTGCATGTGATGGATGAAACTAACCACACAAAAAAACACATCTTCACAAGTAACTCATGTTATAATACCCCAGGAAGGAAATATTCGGCTAATGCAATTAAAAAACATAACCATCCAAAATTAATTATTACTTTATTGATGATAGCAGATATATTAAGAAGCATAATCATCTAAAAATAATTATTACTTTATTGATGATGGCATATATATTAGGCATCACTAAACACGTACCAAGCTCTTGAAGATTCACATCAGGAGCTAGAAAAGAATTCTCTTTCATCTTGTTAGTATGAATTTGAAGAATTTGCAATCGACCATTTTCATCCGGGAGACTTATCTCTACTTGGACTTCCAACCGCCCTGGTCTTCAAGACATAATAGTAGGTGATAAATGACTAGAAGATATGCGCCCCATAAACATAGGCATGTAGCAACTCTATAAATCAATTACAATTTTCAGAATTAAGCATTGAGAAATAAGCACATGCGTGGTGTTTATAGTTTATATAGGCTCTAAAATGAGAGATAATTGCTTCCCCTTATAACTAACATATGAACTCAAACCAATTATTTTAACAGCTTAAGTTGGGAAGCATTATGGAAATCAGTGTTGTCAATACAGATAGCAGAACCTAGCCGTTTGTTAAAATTCTGCTATGCAGTAGTGCTATAGTGCCGCTATAGCGGCTATTTGACAACATTTTGCACTAAATAGCATATCGCGGAACAATAGCAGTTTGTCCAATTTCCACTACACTAAAGAGGTATAGCACCACTATACCGGCTATTTAGCAAGATTGATGGAAAGGACTATTTTTTTTACAACTAAGTTGCATTACACATAGCTTCCAATCAAATCTTTCATGTCTGTATCAAACACAGACTTAGCATCACCATGCTAGAGAAAAGGCTTTTTAAAGGAAGAACATTACTACTAAATTAGTTCACTTCAATGACCAATTAGCATATATACAGATAAGTTCTACCAGACCTTGGGTTGACTTTATTTAGAACAATCTTAGTACATAAATTGTAACATGTATGATCCAATTTGAGGGGGAGCATTAAAATAATTACATGCGTAAAGAGCACTGTTATCTAATACTGACTCATGATTGGTGCAGATTAGTTTAAATTTAGGAGGTTATTGCTGCTGTAATTATTATAAAATATAAATATATTTGTGTGTAGACTAAGCAGTCACAATTTTTTTCAAACTCTAATAATTTTATGTTGAGAATATCAGAATAGTGTGATGGGTTAGCTGTACTGTATACTCATATCAGCTGCAACTATTGACAGTTAGAAAATTTAGTCACGTGCCTATTTGTTAACTGAGTTTTGTTGTAAAAAATTTTAAACACCGGTAGCTGTCAGGCAGTTGCAGATCTAGTAGATCTGTAACTGCTCCAAAAATATACTCAAATATATGTGATCAAATTCACTAGTCTATTTTGAATTATCACTCTCTGATTTATTTCTTTGCTGTTATTTTCATGCATTTCCTCATCTGCTCAACTTCTAACATTCTATAAGAAAACATTCAGATTGGAAAATTTGACAAAATTATAGCATATCAATGTTAACTGTTCATATATTTATTTTCAGGAAAAGAATATGTTAAGATCTAGAACAGGGGATAGAGGTATAATCATATAGATTACCTTAAGAGTGCTTCATCAAGCATGTCCTTTCTATTTGTCATTCCAATAAGCAAAACATTGTTTAGTGATTCTACACCATCTATCTATACACCAAACAAAATCTCTTAGAATTACTGATAACTACTATAGATGTATATTAAAAAATAACATACAAGATTTAACACATTCACAGACCTTAGTAAGAAGCTGGTTCACAATGCTATCATGAACCCCTGTACCATCTCGAGTTGAGCCTCTGGACTACACAAGACATGAAAAGAAAGATATAGCACAGTTTGGATCAACTTCTGGCAAATAGGAACTTCTCTATATAGATAATATTTATTCTTTACTAGCCAAAATTCTTTTGTAAGCTTTTTATCAGTGGTTAAGAGATCTTCAAATATGCTGGGACGTAGAAGCCCGTTTCAAAATTCAAATTATTCAAGATATTAGTTAAAAGACTCATAATCATTGTAGGATTATTTTGACTTTAATTTCCTTTTCTGTGTACAAAAGATTATCCAAATAGGATACAGGCAGTATTTTCATATTCCTGCATTGAAAATGCGACCATGTTCTGGTACCCGTGTTGGATATTTTGAGAGGCCTCCTTTTCCTTCCCAGATAATTACTCAATAAGTTTCTCACTATATGAGGGACGAGCAAAGTTTTCACCCTCGTTGCATGAGTGCCAAATCAGAGGTAATGAATTGTTGCAAGGCGCGCCTAGGCAAGGGTGGCCTCGAATAAACACAGATGATGGATGGCCTCGAATAAACATGGGTCTATCGAGTGGTAATAATCTGTCAGCTGGCTACAGAGGTGTTACTGGGATGATAAAGGTTGTTGGTGTGGGGGTTTGCTAAGCCTTTTGAATCTATGTGTACTTACATGGAAGAGCTTTGGAGCGCTTATGAGGGTTTAGAATGGCCAAAGAGATAGACCTTCAGCTGTGAAGTTGGATACATATGTTGTTATTAGAAGCTTGCAAGGTGGTTCTTTGGATAGTGTCCAAGGAAGATTAGGAGACTGATGAAGGCTGGCTGGCTGGAGGCTGATTAGAAGGTTTGCATAAATCATATTTATCGAGAGAAAAATATGGTTGTGGATTGTCTTCCCTCTTGAGGGTGCAAGTTTGGAGAAGATTTGGTAAATTCTTTAGCATCCTCCTCCTCAGATTAAGCAGTAGGTGGCTGCTGATGCGTTAGGAGTTTGTACTTGTTTGATTCTTCCACCAGTTAATGCTAATGTTGTGTTACTTATTAACAAACTTACTAGAGCAACATAACAGATAATTGATGTTGAAATAATGTTTGAGAAACCCCATACCTTACAAATAGCATCAATTTCATCAAATATAATAACATGCAAATCACTTTCGTCCCCTGAAAACAGAGAACAAGATAAGTGAATTATCCTAGATTTGAACTTAAAGAACATGCAACGCATATATATTATATCCATCACCTAGGTTCCTCTGATCCTGTTCAGCATCAGCAAAAAGGTCTCTTACATTCTTTTCAGTTTCACCCACAAATTTGCTCAAAACTTCTGGGCCATTTACAATCTAGTACATGTAAGAAAAGGAAAACTAAGATTCATCAACCATCAAAACTATAATAACGAGTCATTAACCTATAGAAAGCAAAGCATGTATTTTTCCCATCCAATTTTAAGTTATTCAAACATGTCAATCATTTAAGGAATCTAAAGCAAATTAGTAATACCAAAAATTATGTTAGTGTAGAAGGCATAAAAGCAAGGTGAGGACTGATAATATGCCAGGAGAAAGTTACACCCACCCAAATAAGACTCATGCAAGGCATAGTTAAAGAAATAGGCAAGTGTTGACTGCAAGTAACAGGACTTACTATTCTTAAATCAAGCCTATATTTATGATGAAAATTAATTTGTGACAACACATGCAAATGATCATGTTATGCCAAATTTTGAGTGAAAATAATAGTAGAGAAGGGATAAAGAACCAAATAGTAAAAACATTCCAGAAAATCATATTCCAAGGCAAATACTCTATGAAAATCAATTAGGAGGGTAAACAGTATTAATTAAATAAAAGATAATACAAATAGTCTATCTCTATTAACCACTGCTGATTACATGTGTAAGTAATATAGATGCACATCTATATCACGCAAGTATAAGGAGTGGTTTCCAAACCTTTGGATCCTTGCCATTCAAAATTTTTCCAATTTGACGTGCCATAAGAGTCTTTCCAGTTCCAGGAGGACCATAAAGCAGCATGCCCTTCACATGCTTGATCCCTAATCTGAAACCTCAAAGCTACCAAGTGAGAACGTGATATATCATAAAACAGTGGATAAAATGAACCGTAGTATCAGATCTATTACTTAGATGTCACATGGGGAGGGAAAACACGAGATGCAAAAGCTCTTCGAAATATATCTGCAAACTCAGCACCCAGGCCACCGATACCCAGAGACTCGAGGTTAAACTCTTTCTGCTTAAAAATGTTGCTAGTAGTACCTTCGCGCTGATTGATAATCTGCAAAGCACAACATAAACCGGTAAAAATATGCCAAGATAGTTACAGTTAGTAGAGTAGAGTTACAAAGTTCTCCTACCTAGTTGGGAAAATACTTGGTTGTTGTTTCTAGAGTAAAGTGAAGAAGTTTACATAACATGACATTATTTTGCATAGCAAAGTGTTAACTATCACCTCAAATGGAATACACGAAACAATGATCAAACTAACTTACTGGACTTCATTACTAAATGATATATAGAAGATATTACCAAAAACTTCTGTATGAATAGTCTAAATCAAGGTTTCAAATCAGTGAAATTAAGCATCAAGGGATAGTTAAGCTGTGTAAGCATTTGTAATGTGTTGAAAAGAACAGTAGAGTAGATGTCAACGAAAATTAGGAAACTAACCTTAATTCCACTATCACGTGGCGCATCAAAAACAAAGAATGTGTCATCTAAAATTATCCCTCTTTCAATAGAGTTAGACTTTCCCTGGCCCTCAACGGTAGCTTCACGGACTGTAAAGCTATAATTATTTCCTTGAAACTCAAATAACACTTTCTGCCCTGCTGTCATTACCTGAATTAAATAAGATCCATATTAACGTTTTACAATTGGATTTAGCATATCAAACAAGAGCGTTTCAGAAGAATAACATGTCTATGTTCAAGTTTGTTACTCAAAAAGTAACCCACACTAGTATTTAGCGAAAGGGCACAACCAGCAATGTGAAAGACCCTACCTGGTTATTAAGTCTTCTCCGAAGTTGCTTGGCTAGTACAATAGCATCAATCTACAAGACAAAGCAGCAACATCAATTTATATCCCAAACTACTCTAATGAACAGCATATTGATGACAAGAAAACGAACTTGTTTCAATCCACATAAAATACCTGTTCATTCCTGTTTCCAACCCTTTTAATGAAGTCCAATTCAACTGTTAGCACGGCCAGGTTGAAGTTTTCAGGTGGAACGAATCTTGAACAACATAGCAAATCAAACAATGAGCAAAATAGGAGGTCAATACTCAATGCTAATCAGCTAAATACATACTAAATCAAACTAACCGGGTCACATCTATGGATTCAGCTGCAGAAACTTTTGCACATCGACGTTGAATGGAATTCAAAGCAATGTGACCACCGCGTATGCTTTCATGAGCTGTATTCTCAAAATTAAGGCCACAAATACAAAAAATCACACAATCGTGTATAAATTATCACCTTCCAGCATTGCAATTTTCCAGGAATAACATTTTCAACAAAAATAAATAAATAAATAGTTCTACGCTAATGAATTGAAGAACGCGATTTACATCAAAAATGAAAGGAAATATAATAAAATGAAGTAAATAATGCGGTGAAGGATATGAGAGAGAGAAAACGAAGACATCGCCGATGGAAGCGAGGTAGAGGTTGCTGTGACCGGGAACGGCGAATTTTGGAAGATCGGAGGCGGAGATGTAGGCGAGGTTAGTTAGGGCGAGTTCTTGGGAAGGTGTATTGGTGACGATCATGGAGATCGAAGCAGCCGAAGATCCAATGAATCGACCCGCCATTGTTTGAATCGGATCTTGCTTTCAGATCACAAGATAATGGAAATGGTGTGCCTGCGCGGGAGAGTATTACCATAAACCGGTAATGCTAAGAATAAAGTGTAAGGATATGATATAATATGATTTAGGAGCATATACTTTTATTGCTATTTGACTCAAGAACAAAACTAACTTAAGAGTTAAGAATTACTCCAAAGAGAAAGGCAACTTAACAATATAATTTTATGGGATGGTATAAATTTATCTTTTATTGTTTGAATAAGTGGAATTGATTTCATCACTTCCATTATTTTAACCATAAAATGACATTTTTATTTTTATTTTATTTTATTTCAAAACAAAAATATTCTTGTTCAATTTTGATTGAGTAACCAAATTAGTAGTAAATACTTTTACTTTTTAACATGAAAATAAATAAAGAAGGAACTTTTGAAATGATTAAATTATTTATTTTTCTCAGTTACAACTTACATGTTTTGTGCGGGAAATGTGATAAATTTTAGTATGGTTTATAATACTTCTGTGCATTTTATTCCTTAGTAGGTATTGATTATTATATTACATTCTATTTTGAAGTAATAAAAATGGCTAAATCCACAAACAAAAAAAGGGCTAAATCTACTTTGATGTGAAAGGTTGAAGCTGTTGAGTGTGACTTTTTTTTCTGTCCCTCTGATAGTTAGTTTATGGCCCGGCACAAAATAATTGTGCATTGCCGACTTAAAATTTTTTTGCACAAATTCAAAATATAGTTTTCTTTTGATATGTACATGCGTCATGCTATCAAATATTAATTTTACTGTTCCGTCTGATACAAAAAATGACACAAATAATGAATTTTTATGATTTATCAGGATTAAGGTTTAATTTAAATAATATGTAGAGTAGAAGTATGGTTTGAAAGTTACGTGTTGTTATATAATATAAAAAGTTTCAGTTCATGGAAATATAACCTTAAATGTATCAAAAACATACTTCCTATAACATATCGTGTTTTTTGAAACGGATTAAACAACCATTTGTAATAAAATTGAATTATTCGGTGTCTTGTGTTATGCTATACGCGGACCCTGAACCTTTTGCAAAGTTGATATGATATGAACAAGACCCGGTTCTCGTGAGCTTATCCCTATGCTCGCGTGTACGAGATCTTTAGAACTATGTTGTATTTTGGAAAGCAACTATTACAAGAAACTGAACAAAGAAAGTAACTATTAACATATTAAAATAATTGATAAAAAAAAACATATCAAAATAATTTGTATATCTCCCGATAAGTTAAGTCAGTAGTTGTATACAGTAAAAGTTAAAAATAAACTCAAAAAATATTATGCCGACATGATTAAGTTACATGATCCAAGAGTATATAATTACTTTCTAAAACCAATTTTTAAGTAGCACTTATTATTAATAAGTGCATTTACAACTGATTATTTTTGCTTAATAAAATTTTTAAAAATTGGATTCTTAAACCTGAATACTAGAGTCTTATTTACAAATAGTAGATTTTCGTATTGGTAAAAGCTAGAAAATGAAAAAAGTGATGAACAAAAATGAAAAAAGTGATATATTGGTTTTGTGGAAGTGGATAAAAATTCTGAAAGAACGTCAGGATGAGTTGAGGGATATTTTTTTATTTTTATTTTAGTCTTACTGATCGTTAGTTTGAATATTATTTATTCATCTTTAAAGTTTGAATTCAAACCACTAAATAATTTGATTAAAAATTGATTTAAATATCTAAACTAATTTTATTTGTTTTGAAATTTTAAACTTTCTTTCAATAAATATCTGGATTGTTTTTATTTTCTTTTGACTCAATTTTTTATTTCTTTTATAAGTAATATATATATATATATATATATATATATATATATATATATATATATATATATATATATATATATATATATATATATATATATATATATATATATATATATATATATATATATATATATATATATATATATATATATATATATATATATATATATAAACTATTTGTTTTGAAATTTTAAATTTATTGAGCTTGTAATTTCTTGTGTCGAAGTAGTGTAGTTCGACAGAAACAATGACTGGTCGAATTAGCCTAATGTGTGTGTTGAAATGTCGAAACAGATTGTTTTACACAAGATTTCAACTTAGGCCTATTTTAGTAATGTTAATTATTTTGGACTTTTATAGTTTTGAGTTTGTCTTAGGGTGCAAGCTAACATAAATCTATAAATAGGGAGTAACCCTTATTTTGTAAACTCAACTCATAACGTTGTATTCACAGAATTTGCAGTTGCAAGTGAATAAGAAGTTTTCACAATTTGTAGGCAGAGAGAAACTCTGCAAAAAATATTCATCTTCTTCTCCAACGTTTTTTTCTTTCTTTCTTTCTCAACCTTTTCCATTGTCATTATGTGATTGATAACAATATTGTCCATCAAAATTAAGTGAAATTCTCGATAAGATGTGCTTGATTTCTAGCATCTGATATTTAGAGTTTCGGTTGCGATTCAAGGAAGCAAAACCGTGATGACGATGAATCGTCCAGACGGTCATTTTCCTGACGAATATTTCAATTCTCAAGAAAGATAATTATGAGAATTTGTGCAAGCAAATTAAGGTAGTTTTCTTTTATGAATATTTTTCGGATCTTGTGAAGGAATGAGTAACACCGCTTGTAGAAAACGTGACGGATCATGAAAAGGCTGCACACAAAGAATTGAAGAAGAAAGATTATAAAGCTCTTTTTATAATCCATCAATGTGTTGATCAAGATAAATTTGAAAAGTTTAGTAATGTAGAACCAGTAAAAGAAGCGTGGGAAATTCTGGAGAAGTCGTTTGGAGGAGCAGTGAAGTGAAAGAGGTGAGGCTACAAACTCACAACAGAACCTATAAATGGCTTCAGACGAAAGAAAGTGAAAGCATAACTGATTTCCTCCACTAGGGTTACTAAATTGGTGAATCAAATCAAGGTATGTGGAAAAGTATTGACATCAAGATCAGTTGTTGCAAATATCTTGAGGTCATTGGCTCTAAAGTTCGACCACGTGATAGTAGCCATAGAAGATTCGAAAGACTTATCAGTATTGACAAAGGAAGAGCTTCAAGGGACGCTTGAGTCTCATGAACAAAGGATGACTAAAAGAGTTGCAGGAAAGTCGAAGAGTGATATGGCTTTGTAGGCGCAGTTAGAAAAAAGAAAAGAAAGGGAAAGGAAGTAAGAATGGCAACAAAGGCAGAGGAGGCTACAACAATTTGACTGGTCAAAATCAGCAGAAAGGAAACTGGTCGAATTAGAGAAAACTCTGGAACCAAGGCAACCTAAGAGGTGGTGTTGCAGGTAGAGAAAGAAGTGGTGGTCAAAAATCTAACAAAAGTCACATTCAGTGTTACAATTGTTAGAAGCATGGTCACTATTTTAGTGAGTGTCAAGAAAAGAAGAAGAATCAAGAAATTGATACAAAGCTGGTGAAACATGAAGAAGAAGAGATGTTGTTGACGGTCATAACAAGGAATGAAGAAAGATTTTAGTGGCAATGGTACTTTGACTCGGGATGCTCATCACACATAACTGGTAGAAAAGATTAGTTTGTCACCGTGAAGCCCTCAATGAAAAATATGGTGAAATTTACAAATGACAATACTCTAGCAGCTAAAGATATTGATGATGTTCTGATTATGAGAAAAGATAGCAAAAGGTCAGTAATTTCCAATGTGTTATACATACCAGACGTGAAGAGGAATTTGGTTAGTATAGGGTAGTTGGTCAAAAAGAACTACAAAGTGTCGGTCAAAGACAAGATGATGAGAGTTCTCGACTCAGGTGGTAGGCTAATATTAAAGGTTCTAATGTCTCAAAATAGAACCTTCAAGAATGGGCTTAATATGATGGAGCATAAGTGTCTTGCAACTGCAGCCAGTAGAGATGAATGGATATAGCATTATCGACTTGGCCATCTCAATTTCAAAGACATCAGAGACTTGAAGAGAAGAAATATGGTTTTAGGATTACCAGAAATCGACATTCCAAATGAAGTATATGAAGAATGTGTTCAAGCAAAACAACACGAGAATAGCTTCAGCGAGGATGCAAGAAGCAGGTCGAAGGCAATTCTTGAAATCATATACTCTGATGTATGTGGTTCTATCCAGGTGGACTTGATTGGAGGTAACAGATACTTTATCACATTTATAGATGATTTCAGTCGAAAATTATGGAGTTACCTGATCAAGAAAGATAAGTGAAGTGCTCGAGGTATTTGTCAAGTTTAAATTTATGGTCAAAAGACAAAGTGGTCGAAAGCTAAAGATTCTAAGGACTGGTGGTGGTTCAGAGTATGTGTTGAAAGATTTCGATGCATTATGTGAGAAAGAAGGGATTGTGCATGAGGTGGTGCCACCCTACACTCCACAACTGAATGGAACTACAAAAAGGAAGAATAGAACCATCATGAATATAGGGAGAAGTTTGTTGAAAGGCAAGCATCTACCCAAAGAATTATGGGAGAAGCCGTGTCGATAGCAACATACATCTTAAATAGATGCCTGACGAAGAAGCTAGAAGGAATCACGTCAGAAGAATGTTGGTCTGGTGTTAAGCCTAACCTAAATCATTTGAAAGTGTATGGATCTATAGCATATAGACATGTGTTAGATCAGTTAAGAAGAAAGCTTGATGACAGGTTGATTTAAATGATCCTGGTAGGATATCATTCGACTGAAGGATACAAGTTATTCAACTCAGTGAACAAGCAAGTAGTGATCAGTAGGGACGTGATCATAGATGAGCTTAAGGAACAAGATTGGACTGAGAATGTCAAAAAGAATTCAATGAGAATTTTATATGAAGAACCAGCTATTAAAGTCAAAAGAGAAGTTTGACAAGAAGAAGCCAGAGGTGAAGCCGGCCCAAGCAGGCCTCAATAAACAAGACACATGTCTGTAAGGTTGCAAGAATGTGTGATTACATCAGATGATGTGGTTGATGAAGAAGGTGAGCTGGTA